ATCAATGGGGATGAGCACCATGATTTGCATCATGTGACTCTCCTGGTAAGCACCTTATACATTAATCAGCTCACATTTTCTGTTTCCCCACTGATGTGCACATACAGCTTCTTGTATTGCTCAGCTTACCCATGTGCAACAGCATTCAGTACTGACCTACGTAAATGAAGGGTGGATGGGTTTATTCTGCTTGCAGGTAGCAGAATCCAGTAAAGGTTGGGGAAGATGCAGCAGCTGTTTTATGCATGCAGATTCCTTACTCCACTGGTAAGCCGGTATCTGTGTCAAGTTCTCTGAACTGCTACATAGCCACATGTGTGAGGCCGTTAGAATGCAGTGGACCCACCTGGCAAATAGTGAGTTGCATTGAGGATCCACTTGGAGAGCATTAGATGGCAATGTAGCATAGGTGTCAACTCCCTGGGGCCTGGGTGCCCAAGCACCCACAAAATTCCCTGTGAAGGCACCCACAAATTTCAGTACCAGGGCCATGCACGCTGCATGGCACTAACAGCCCCAGGCTCCCACAGTCGCAGGGCCAAGTTGGCACTCCTGCCATGTAGGTACTCTAGTCAGTGGCTGGATTCTGTAAACAGTTCACAATAAGTGCTATCGGCCTTCAGAACTTTCCATGTATGTATGTATGTATGTATGTATTTTTTAAGGAGAAGACAACGGTCAACATCTGATGTGTACCTCCATTTTTATTTTGATCTAATTTTGCTGTGTATTAATTCTTCTTAACCTTCCTTTCTTCAGAGTTTCCTATTCACATGGTTCTGAGCTACAAAATTTCCAGTGCTAGCTTTTCTTTTCTTCCCCCCCTCCCCCTTTCCTTCCTTCCTTCCTTCCTTCCTTCCTTCCTTCCTTCCTTCCTTCCTTCCTTCCTCTCTTAACCTTTCATTTATTCATACATTTTCTCAGCAATCCCGGCATGCAGAATTAATAGATTTTACACACGGAGGGTCAAGAAGCTCTCACAAACCTCATGAATAGCCACGGTGATGTTTACATGCAATTCACACGTTTGGCTTCTCATCTCTATAAGAACATGCAGTTAATGTGATCCACACTGACGTCGTAGGATTCACGTAAACCCCTGTGCCCCTTTCTGCTCTGCTCTCTCATTCTAGTGTGTGGAAGGCGACAGGAAAAGAGATACAGTATTGTAGTGGTTCTGAGTTCTGCTGCCGCTGCTTGTTTTAAATGGGATCAGTGCCACAAGGATTTTGTTTGGAACACAGTAGCTATGGGGTTTTTCTAGCACTGATAAAGATGTCCTATTAGCAAAGGCACCAAAAAAGCCCCCGAAAGCACATAGCTAAGTAGTTACTCTTCATATGAATGGTAATTGCTGAGCTTTTTGTAACATTGTAGGAGATGAAAAAATGTCTGAATTTAACAGGAGATTCTGCCCAGGGCATCTAAAACCCAGTACGAGGGGGGCTATTAATGTAAAAGTTATATTTTGCAGAGAAGAACAGAATTTGATTCTTCTGTCAACATTCTGCATGTTCATGATACTGTAAACAATTTACAGACAAATAGAGCAGGGACAGGCAATCAAAACTACTGGAAGGAAAAAGCATAACTTTCTTCTTATCCCCTCTTCCTCAAAATCTTAGAAAGGTAAGCAGTTTTATCATTGGTTAAAGAGATAAATGTTTTGCGAAATACGGAATTTCAGGTTTTTGAAAAAGTTTTAAGGACAAGAGTGCCTACCAGAGGTCCTTCAGATATTGCCAGATTGCAGCCTCCATCATCCCTGACCATTGGGCCATGCTGGCTGGGGTTGATGAGAGTTGGGAGTTCAATAACACCTGGAGAGCTACAGGTTAGGCACCCTGCTGTAGTGTTTGCAACCATATATTTGGTGAGCGCAGTAATCAAAAGAGACTTGGCACTTAATCAGCTAGAACCATCATCGAGAGAAAAGAGGAACATTGGAAAGTGCTTTGAATCTATTGGCACATCCTCCAACACTGTGGGGAAAGGGCATTGGTTTGATACCCTGAATGGCTGCCCCAGTGTCACTCCCTACAGAACACTGTTATCTGTAGTTTTATGCAGTTGGAGTGGCTTGCAAGAGTATCCTGTATGGAGGTATAACGTCCTTGAATGAAGGAGAAATCCAATCTTACCAGGCAGCTGGTCTGGATTTTGGAGAGAATTCAGTATCTAAACACAGTGGAGTCCATCTCTTCCTCAGGTGTCAATAAAAGGGCTAGTTTTTCCAAGTGTGATTCACCTAATAAGTCTTCACTGCATTATCTGTCTGCTCACTGAATTCATCATTCTGCTTTACGTCAAATTTCCTGAGTCATACCCATGGTAGCATTTTCTGTTGACTCTTCACTGATGTCTCCTCCAATTTTACACCTTCTTCTCTATCATCTCTCTCTCACTCTCTCTTTCACAAGCACACACAGTAATGGAATCAGTGTGATTTCATCAGTGTGAGAATGTGAATGTGTTATAACAGAAAACCCTCATGGATTTTGCATGAAATACCCATCAGCAAGCAGCTTCAACGGGTGGATCATTCCTGTGAGATCCACTCAGATGATCCATTTCAATGTGATCTTTTCCAAGTGCTCTAATTCAGGC